TGTACAGCTTGCATGTTCTCCCCGTGTTCCTGTGGGTTTCCTCAGGTTTCCTCCTGCTGTCCAAGATCATGCAGTTTGGTGAATTAGTGTCTCTTGATTGTCCTCAGCGTGTGAGTGAGTGTTTGCCCTGTGATGGACTGGCTTCCCATCCAGGGTGTCTCTGCCTTGTACTCTGTGCTTCCTGTGATGTGTGTGTCCCATAACCCTGTACTGGATAAGCAGATATTGGAATTTGTTGGATACTATTTTGATATTTTATCTTTCTGTTCCTGCGGGTGGCTGAAGCTGAAACTTTTGGCTTAAATGTGAGACTTTAACTTAATAGTGTTTAATGAATATCTAGAATAAACTTTCATTATTAGATCATGGAAAAATTTTGGGTGGGAAAAATTATCAATCTGAACCTGGTCACCTGACTCTCCTTCCTAACACAAATACACTCCCAGCACAAACACCCAGAAAGAAAATGAAGATATATGACATATATGTGCTACACCCTTTATTTTCATGAATACTATATATAGAATAATATAAAAAACAAATCTGTGGATTGACAGTATTTGTCAAAGCTTGTTCTGTCTAATCCTGACATAGTCTGTCTATAATTGCACAAACCTGCATGTTTCACCTGAAACTACATGATCCCAAACAGACACAGAAATTCATTCTCAGTAGATCTGCTCTCTTATGCCTTTCTACCTAATTTCTATCTATGGTACAAAATCAAAGAGTAGGATATAGCTTGTTTACGGAAAAATGTCAGATATTCTCATAAAAGCTAAATAAATGTCTATTGTGTGTATAGTTTGCATAATGTACTATTTTAGTTTTAAACTCCAACTCCAGTGTTTGTCCAGTCTGCTCTTCTCAGTCTGGCCTCAGTCCAAAACCACACCTGCTGCAGCCTGAGAAGCAGGAAGTGAGAGAAAACAAAACTTAATCATATCAGTGTTTGTGGTAAAATGGCAGAAGCCAGTATTGCAGTGGATCAGACCCAGTTCAGCTGTCCAATCTGTCTGGAGTTACTAAAGGATCCAGTAGCTATTCCCTGTGGACACAGTTACTGTATGAGCTGCATTAAGAGCTGCTGGGATCAGGAGAATCGGCGTGGAGTTTACAGCTGCCCACAGTGCAGACAGACCTTCATATCCAGACCTGTTCTGGCCAGAAACACCATACTGGCTGAAGTGGTGGAGAAACTGAAGAAGACTGGACTACAAGCAGCTACTCCTGCTGACCATTATGCTGGACCTGGAGATGTGGAGTGTGATGTCTGTACTGGGAGAAAACACAAAGCTGTCAAGTCCTGCCTGGTGTGTCTGGCCTCTTACTGTGAAACTCACCTCCAGCCTCACTATGAGTCTCCAGCTTTTAAGAAGCACAAGCTGACTGATGCCACTGGACATCTGCAGGACAAGATCTGTTCCCAGCATGATAAACCCCTGGAGGTCTACTGCCGTACCGACCAGCAGTGTATCTGTTATCTCTGTACGATGGATAAACACAGAGGCCATGATACAGTCTCAGCTGCTGCACAAAGGGAGGAGATACAGGTCAGGCCAGAAGTTTTCTTATATAAATATAAAGTCAATATTAAATAAATGGATTTTGTCTTAAGAGATGTTAGTGTAATTGCTACAAAACACTCAGAACACGTCTGGTTTGGTAAAATGAAAGAAAAATTAACTGAAAGTGCAAGTTTAAAAAATTCTGCTTGAATTCCTACTGAAACTCCTACAAACATCGAATCATGTGGCTGCAGCTGAATATATACAGCAAGCAAACAAGGTGAAGAGGTTCACTTACTGTTTGGCTGAGCATCTGAATGGCTAAGATGTGTGAGCTAAGATGTTTTAAATATGGCACATTAAATTTAACAAGTTATCTGGGTAAACAAGAAATTTTTCTTTTTGAAACTGGTCCCTGGTTTTTCTAAATGGCTGCACTGGAACGTGTTTAACTCGTCTGTGACGTCATTCCCAGCTCAGAGTTCCGGCCTCCGAGGTAAATGGAGCTCAGCATAAGAGTAGCGGCTCCATCATCTCAGAAACAGCCAACAAAAATAGTAACAAAAATGCCTAAGATGTTTGTATGGAACGCCATGATACTCAAATAAAATAAATAAGTATATCAAAAAATAAATAAAGGAATAAATTATATCTAAAGATAAATAAAATAATAAATAAATATTTCAATAATGTGTCCTTTTATTTTTAAATAATTCCATAAAAGATATTATATTTCATAATAATGCTTGTCTTCTTTGTATAATTTTAAAATTGTATTTCATATTAATGCTGCGATTTTTATTAGACAGTCATTATTATAAAATATTATTACATGTAATGTAAATGTGATTACTTAAATAAATATATTTCTTGTGAAACTATATCAACACAGTTTTTTTTCAGGATTGACACTCCAGCCTCTTGAAAAAACTCACACTGGTCCATTCAGACTGGTGTGGTGCTGAGGCGTCACCCACTGCACGGCTGCACTCAGGTTCTCCTCCCTGAGGTGGTTGGTCGTGTGGTGGGTGTGGTAAGGCACTGTAATCAGCGTGTGCTCCTTACCTTACCTACCTTACCTTACCTTACCTACCTCAACACAGTACAAATGTACGTATTAAAAAAGGTCTTTCAGTACTTACATATACCTAGATCACTGATTCTCCAACTTTTTCAGACCAAGGACCACTTTGTCTAAAAAAAATTTTTCAGAGACCACCCTGAGCCACGTACTGCTACCCTCCGACCCCCACCCCACCCACAAAACCCACATACACACACACATGATCTCATATATACAGGAACATACTTCAAAAGAGGTCAATTTGTTTGGAACTACATTTTTTTGAAAGATCCAGGTAAAACCTATGGTTGTGAGGAATTAGGTAGGCCTATCCACAACAGCTCTAATAATGCTGCTGCATATTACGCATCACTGACTGAATGTCTGTCTCTAAACTGGACAGTCTTAATCTCATACTGGGGGCCACATTGATCTGGTTGCGCTGTTTTGTTTTCAAACCAACCAGTGTTGAAAATCCAAGTTCACAGTTGTAGGTGTTTGAAAACGGCATTGATATTTTTAAAGCAGACTCCGCGAGCTCAGGGTGCTCAGGCTGGATGTCGATCCAGAAGTCAGTCAAGGATTTTTCTGGAAATGCCATCTTCAGTGATCCATCAGATGCAATGTCCACAAGGCTGTCTTCCTCTCTTGCAGAAAACTTAGAACTGACACGCTAAATGTGGGTTTGGTCTCCAAATGGATTTCTGATCCACTCAAAGTCCATGTCTAATTCTGGGAAGTATCTTCCCAAATGCGTGTGAAGGCCACGCAGGTGCTCCTTAAAAGCTGCAATGGTATCGCTGTCCAGGACCTCCTCAGCTGTGAGGAGAAAGTCTGCCAAAGTAGGGAAATTGTCGAATTGTAAGCGATCGAGGCGAGTGCACCACAATTCCGTCTTCATGCGTGCTGCGTTAATTTTGTCCTGTACAGTAAAGACTGTGACTGTTTCCCCTTGAAGTGCCAAATTCAATGTGTTGTGGAAACTGAAAATATCAGCAAGGTATGACAACTTCGCAAGCCATTGAAAGTCATACATTCTGTCACAGAGTTCATCAGTCTGATGCATGAATAGCTTAAGCTTGTTGCGCAGCTCGAAAAAATGGGTCAGAACTTTTTCACGTTACAGCCAATGAACCTCTGTGTGTTTCGTGTGTTTCTGACCAGGAAGCCCCTGACAGCCCAATATAAAACTATATAAACAATTACACTCTTATTATATGTTTCTATTCACACATCCATTTTCTAGGCTACTGAACACACATTCTTACCTACACGCTTTAATTTTACCTTCATGTAATTTTTACCGGCACATTTCACTAATATTAATAAAGTGTGGAGCAGCTTTGACATAAATAATGAAGCTTCGTCACAGTGCGCTGTCCTTGTGTCTCTTCCCCGTGTGGCC